TGAGAGAGAGAGAGACAGAGAGAGAGAGAGAGAAAGAGAGAGAGAGAGAGAGAGAGAGAGAGAGAGACAGACAGACACTTGGCCCCCACCCATGTCTCAGGTCCTTCCCTGATCCTAGCAAGGCAGCTGCAGCTGTGGCCTGGGTTGGAAATCTCATCTTTGGTTACTTCTGATTTGCACAAAATAAACAAAAACTACATCTGGTGGCTGGAGGGATGAGGGAGGCTAGTGGCCACGTCTTCCCAGTGACCACGGGGTGACTCACAGCTGTCCATAACTCCAGCTCGGGGGACCGGGTGCCCCCGGCTGCTGTGGGCACCAGCACACATGCACATGTACTCACACATAATTTAAAAGACAGAGAGGGAAAAAAAGACCAGATCCCATGTATCCCATTCTGCCTCAGACTCTCAGCTGAGGTAAGCTTGAACTTCTGGTCATCCTGCCTCACCACAGAGCACCAGGGTTATTAGGTGTGTGCCTCCACATAAGGTTTATGTGGTGTGGGGACCAAACCCAGCACACTAGGCAAGCACCTGGTCCCCGTTTTGGACTTGGAGCAAAGGTTTTGGTCTTCAGTGCAGAAAACACTTCACTGGTGATTATTTCCTACAGAGAAATTAGCTTTATTTAAAACAAAACACAAACAAACAAAACCCAGGAGTAAATGGTGCTAGGGCAATGGCTCATTTGTCAGTGTCTACCATGCATGCATGAGGACCCCAGCTCAGATCTCCAGAACTCACAGAGAAAGTCAGGCATGGCTGTGTGCACCTGTAATTCCAGCGCTGGGGAATGCAGACGCCGGCATCTTGATGTCATTTCAGGTTCATCAGGAAACCCTGACTCAGAAAATAAGGTGGGGACTGGCGGGATGGCTTCCTGCCAAGCTTGTCTACCAGAGTTTGACCCTGGAGCCCATATGGTAGAAAGAGAGAATCAACCCCCACAAGTTGTTCTCTCACTTCTACACATGTGCTGTGGCATGTGTGTGCACACGCACACGCGCACACGCGCACGCGCAGAGAAAGTAAATTACTGTAATTAAAAAATTAAAATTAAAGGTGGCAAATGGCTGGGGAAAGAGACCCAATGTCTGCGTCTCACCTTCACATATGCATGTGTATCTGTGTACACTCTGCCTGAAAAGTCATACAACACGTGCACACATACCTATACCACACATACATACTAAGTGCATATATGTAGTGCATAATTTGGTGTCTGCAGGTGTTGGAAAGGACCTTACTCCCTAACCCCCAATCCAGACAGACGGTTCATTTCCATCAAGTCCACGGAAATGAGGTTGACTGAGAAGTTAAGGGACACTTAGGCGACATGGGGGGTTCCAACTCCATTTGCCAACCTCAGCTCTGCAAGAGACAGTTGGTGGCTGCAAACGAGGCCAAAGGTATTTTCAAGTTCCCGAATCTCAGCCTTGTGGGGCGCCTGGACCCCTATTCCTTCTATTTCTATCCCTGCTCAGCTGTGCTTAATTATCTAGTTAATTGCTTAGCTCACTCATTAAAAAGCACATAATTAGCGCAGGTGGGGGGGGGAGTAGGGCGATGCCTGGTGTGGATAGAATTCTGGAGAAGGGCAAAGGGGAGAAGTGGGCGTGTCTACGGCCTTGACTTTGAGCAGCCCGAGGCCATACCTCTAGCCAACACCAATGCTAAGGAACTGAATAGCATCAAGAACCCGGTGAAATAATCAAGTTCAATCTACCTGATTTCAAAAACAGATAAAGTACCTGAAAAGTAGCTTGCAAAACTAGGCATGCGACCTCAGAGGCTTTATGTACATGCAAGAATGTATAAATGGAGATACTAGTCAGCAATGCAGGGCGAACAGTGAATACCAGGCCTGTAGTCCCAGCACTCAGGAGGCTGGGAGGGCATGGTGGGGTGGAGTGGGGTGGAGCCTGAGTTCCAGATCAGCCTGAGTGACACAGAGAAGCTCTGTCACAAAAGAAAACAAAACCAACATCACCAACAAAATGAAACAGTGCACGCAAAGCACACTTGGGAGCTGGCTCAGATAGGATTTCTGTGCAAGGGGTGAAGACCAGCATTTAGAGCCCCAGAACCCATGTAAAAAGCTAGGCACAACAGCCCACACCTCCAGCTCTGATGCTTGGGATGGCGGAGATGGGTTCCCTTGAGCTTTCTGATCAGCCAGCTTAGTAGAAAGAATGAGCTCCATGTTCAGTGAGAGACCTTGTCTCAAAAGATAAGGTGGGTAGCCAGCCGTGGGGGCACAGCTAGGCTGTGGTGGTTTGAATGAGAAATGTCCCCTCTGGGCTCAGTATTTAAGTTCCTAGTGTCCAGTTGGTGGCACTGTTTGGGGAGGCTTAAGAGGTGTGGCCTTGTGGGAGGAAGTGTGTCACTAGAGGTGGGCTTTGAGAGTTAAAAGACTTGTGCCTAATGTTGGTGGTACACTCTTTTAATCCCAGCACTCAGGAGGCAGAGGCAGGCAGATCTCTATGAGTTCAAGGCCAGCCCAGTCTACAGAGTAAGTTCCAGGACAGCCAAGGCTACACAGAGAAACCCCAACTCAAAGATCCAACAAAAGCCTGGTGCCTTTTCTACTTCACTGTCTCTGCTCTCTCCTGTGGTTCAAGACACGAACCCTCCCTCACCTTCCGTCCTGGCCTCCGAACCCTCGCCCCCTGTCCTGGCCTCTGCCTGCTGCCATACTTCCCTGCTGTGAAGGACTGTTGTCCCTCAGGAACTGTGAGCCGAATAGATCATTTATTCTGTAAATTGCCTTGGTTATTGTGTTTTATCACAGAATAGAAAAGTAACTAATACAGACATAGTGGTAGGTGGATCTCTGTGAGTTCAAGGCCAGCCTGGTCTACATAATGGTTCCACACAGTCAGGGCTACAGAGTGAAGCCCTGTCTCAAAATTTTAAAAATAATTTTAAAAAATGTTGAGGAACCAATGAGATAGTTTGGCAGTTAAGAGCACGTGCTGCTCTTCCAGAGGACCCCTGTTTAGTTACCAGTACCCAGGTAGGGTGGCTCACAACTGCGTATAACTTTAGCTCTAGGGGATCAAATGCCCTCTTCTGGACTCTCAGGGTGCATGCGCGCGCACACACTCTCTCTCTCTCTCTCTCTCTCTCTCTCTCTCTCTCTCTCTCTCTCTCTCACACACACACTCTCTCTCTCTCTCTCACACACACACACACTCTTTCTCTCTCTCATACACATGTACACACACACGTAGAAACACACATAGAACTATACATGCACTGTAACACATATGCACACACATATATACTATACATATACTATATATACACGTACTATACATACATATCTATACAGTATGCATACTGTACATATACCACACATACACTGTACACAAACACTGTACATACACAGCACACATATACATACATGTACCCACTTACACACTACACATGAACCCACTAATACTTCCATACATACATATGCACATGCACACATACACACTATACATACACATATACACATAGACCTACACCCATGCACACACTATACATAAGACACACAGACATACATATACTATACACACATACACATATGCACTATATACATAGACACTATGCATGTACACATTTATGCATAAAATATATACTATTTATGCACATACCCGTACACACACTATGCAGGCACACATACACACATGCACACACAGCTCATTATACATACGTACACACAATGTTTTAGTCTGTGATTCTGAGTGATTCTTTTTCAAGTCCACCCGACTTCAATTTTTTTCTGGAGTTTGATACAGGGTCATGTCTATGTATTCCGGCCTAGCCTTGAAGGCTGTAGATAACTGAAGATGGCCTTGAATTTTCGGCTATTTTCCCCCTGTCCTCTGGCGTGCTGGGGTTAAAGGCCATCACTCTTGCTTCCTCCGTCAGGTCTTTCGGTAATACAATTTTTTCTCAGGTGTTTTATCTCTGTTAGACTTGATCAAGTCATTTTTTATGACACTTGTCTGAGAAGTTTTCCGCTGGGTGTCTGCTGACTTCCAATTTTTTCCTCTGGTGTTGGAGGCTGGGATGGTGGGTGTGTGCTGCCTCCAGTGGGGAGCATTTGCCAGCTGCCACAGAGAGGTTCTCTGGCGTTCTGTGTGTCTTGGGCTGTAGCCTGCTTTGCATGTTAATTGCTTGACTTTGGAGGAGAGCTGTGACTGCAGCTTTTTAGGGAGAACTCCCTGCACTAGGGGCCCTGGTGATTAAGGAGCCTCTTGGTTGTCATTAGAATATTAGTTCTTCCAATCTATTTATCAAAAAAATTTACATTTGTTGTACGCATATGGGTGTTTGCTGGCTTGTACATCTGTGTGCTTGCCTGGTGCCGTGGAGGCCAGAGAGCCCCAGGCCACCCTCCCTAGCAGTGCGGGCTTGGGTGTCCACCCTGTATCTCCCTCCTCAGCATTGCCCTATCCTGGCTCCCCGTGGGCAAGTGGCTTCAGAGTTATGAGACTCTCACGGTCTCCTCTCCAGGCCCCTCTCTGTGGGAATGGGTTAAGTGTTTTTAAAGGGGAGGGCTGGAGAAACAGCTTGGGGCTAAGAAGACCGGATGACTGCCCCCTGACAACAGCCCCCGAGGATCTGACGCCTCTTCTGGTCTCTGAGGTTGCTATATTCATGTGCACAAACCCACACACAGGCACACACACGCACACACACATACACATAATTTAAAATAACATATTTAAGGGCTGGAAAGACAGGGCAGCAGTTAAGAGCACTTACTGCTCTCATAAAGGACCCAGGTTCAAATCTCAGCACCCACATAGCAGCTAACAACTATCTATAACTCCAAGATCGATCTGACACTCTCACACAGGCTTACCTGCAGGCAAAGCACCAATGCACATAAAAGTAAGTAAATTTTAAAAAATAAAATATTTAGCGTAGGAATGGCAGATGTCATTTGATTTTGACAGGATAGAACGCATACCATTTTTAAGTTCTTGTCTCTGTCGTCCGTAGCTCCCCATCTGGGCCATCTGTCCGTGTGTCATCACCTCAGATCAGCAGGATGGCTGCCAACAAGGGCAAGAGTCAGGGCTCCCTGGCTCTTCACAAGGTCATCATGGTTGGCAGTGGAGGGGTCGGCAAGTCAGCCCTGACGCTTCAGTTTATGTATGACGAGGTAAGAGATGCCAGCACACCTTCCACAAGTGACTGTGCCTGCAGTGTCATCGTGTCTGTCCGATTCGGCTGTGTTCTCTGTCCATGTCCTCCTTTGTCCACAGAGTGTGTGAATAGCTTCCGCGGGAGGAAGTCTCAGCAGACGATTCCGGCTCTGGTACAGTGCTGATTTCAGCTGTAGTAGAAATGGGAGCTGTCTCTCTGCATACCGTTTTTTCAGTGTTATGTGTGCTTTCTTGGTGACAGGAGCTAGAGGACAGGGAAGTCTTGTATAGGTGATATAACTTGAAGTGTTTTTATTATTTTAATTTCTGTGTGGGGGGTGTGTGTAGAAGAGTGTGGTTGCCTTCAGAGGCCAGAAGAGGGTGTCTGAAGTCCGGCTGTTGTGAGTTTCCCAGTATGGGTTCTGGGAACCAAACTCCTGTCCTCTCCAGGAGCAGCAGGTACTCACCACTGGGCCCTCTGTCTCTCCAACTCCAGCTCTTTTTTTAAACGCAGAGTCTCATGTAGCCCAGGCTGGTTTGGGACTCACTGTGTAGCCAAGGATGACCTTGAACTTCTGATCCTCCCACCTCCCCCTGTTGGGATTATAGGCGTGTGCCCCCTTACCTGGTTTCTGAGGCTTTGGGGATGGAGGGGCTTTGTGTGTGAGAGGAGAACACTCTACCAACTGAGCTACTCCCCAGACGTAGGTGCTGTGGTTTGAGTCTTGAAAGTTTCCTAACGGGTCATGTGTTGAAGAACTGACCCTTAGCCTACAGCACCTTAGGAAGTAGGGCTCAGCCAGAGAAAGTTAGGCCGTTGGAAGTGTCCTTAAAGGAGATTGGGATCCCAGCCCCTTCCTGTGTTTTCCCTGGCTTCCTGGTTTCTGCTGGGTGCTTTCACCATGGTCCTCTGCCTCATCACAGGCCTCTAAGAACCATAGAGTGAAAACTGAAACCATGAGCCAAAAACGAACCTTATCTCTTTCATTAATTTTGTGGTGTGTGAGCGTGCACATGTGGGTACATGCGTATGTGTTTGTATGTGCGTATGGACATGGAAGCTCAGAGGACAACCTTAATTATCATTGTTCAGGAACTGTCCTGTCCACCTTGACTTTTGAGACAGGATCTCTGTCCTGGCACTCTCTGAGGCCAGCCTGACTGCCCCAGAACGTCTAGGATGGCTTGTCTCCATCTCCTAGTACCGAGACAGAATGGCCATGCCCCACTTTATTTGGGGGATTCTGGGGATTGAACCCAGGACTTGTGGTTGTAAGGCAATCACTTTTACCAGATGACCTGTCTTAACACGTATAACCAGATCTCAGTCTGGAGTTTAGGTGGAAATAAATCACAGAGCTGTGGAGAACAGGTGGAAGATTCCTGTAGCTCTCTGGGTCATAGAGGCACTGTGCCAAATCTGAGATCAATTCGTGCAGAGCCGGAGTCCTGTTCAAGTCTAGAAGCTGTTCTCGTTGCGGCTGTAGACACGGGAGGGACTAGGAGAGCCTTGTCTAGACGTTTTATACTTTTAAAAGAAAAGTTGATTATGTCTGTGTGCGTGCCACGGCACACTGGAGGTCAGAGGACAACATGGAGGGGTTGCTTCTCTTTCCACCACGTGGGTTCTGGGCTTTTCAGGCTTGGAGACAAGCACCCACTAAACCATCTTCCTGGCCCAAAATTCACTTTCATCATGTACAGTCCAAGCAGGTGTGATGGCATATGCCTGTAATTCCAACACTCAAGAGGCTGAGGCAGGAGGATCATGAGTTTGAGGCCTGCCTGGGCTGCATGGCAAAGCCCTGTGTGAAAAGACAAAAATATAAAATAATGAATTGTTGTCCTGGGTATGTTCCTGTTGTTGTGACAGTAAGCCTTGATGAAAGCAACTTAAAGGAAAAGGGGACTTATTTTGGTTCACATTTCCTGGGGATATCGTCTGTTACGCTGGGGAAGGCATGGCAGCAGGAGCAGGTGGCTGGCTGGTCACATCGCAACCACACTCAGGAAGCAGAGAGTAGATGGGAAGTGGGACAGGCTGTACAACCCCAAGGCCCACCTCTGGTGACCCCCTTCCTCCTGAAAGTCTCCATCCCCTAGCAGTTCCGCAACCTTCCCAAACATTGCCGCCAGCTGGGGACCAAGTGTTCCACCACGAGTTCCGTGCCCACACTCTGCCTTGCCCTTTTCATTTCCAACATTACCCTTTGGTTTGCCAAAGTTTTAAATTTTCAGAAAATTTAATTAATTTTTTTAATGTGTATTGGTGTTTTGCCTACATGGATATCTGTGCACCACATGTGTGTAGTACCCACAGAGGCCAGAAGGGGGTGTCAGATCTCCTGGAACTGGAGTTGTACACAGCAAGTTGAGAGGCCGTATGGGTGCAGGGAATTGAATCTGCTGAGCCTTCTCTCCAGCCTTGGAAGTTTTAAGTTTAAGTGACATCCATTTTAGTGTGTGTGTGTGTGTGTGTGTGTGTGTGTGTGTGTGTGTGTGTGTGTGTGTGTGTGTGTGTGTTTGTCCTGGTGAGATGCATGTGTGGAGGTCAGAGGACAGCTGCTTGCAGGACTCAGTTTTCTTCTTCCGCCGTGTGCGCCCCAGGGATGGAGTTCAGGTTGTAGGCTTAGTGGCAAGCACCTCCACCCCCAGTCTGTTTCTTCTTTGTTACTTGTGCTTTTGGTATCATCCCTGAGAACCCATGGCCAGGTCCAGGCTCGCGAAGGGTTGTGGCCTTGTTTCCTTCTGAGTTTCTGTTGTAGCTCATATCTAGACCATTGCTGTGTTTTGAGTTAGTCCTTATGTTTTATATGCACTGCACAAGAAGTCCAGTTACACCCACTCTTTGTGTCGTCCAGTTCTTGTCATTTGCTTAGCTGTTATTTTTTCTTTCCTTAAAAGACTGATTCTGAGGTTGCAAAATGAAACTTAAAAAAAAAACCAGAAAGCTTGATTTATTTATGTGTATCTGTGTTCGGGTATGTGACATGAATGTGCATGCCCCTGAAAGCCAGAGAGGCTTCCGACCTGCAGCTGGGTTAGAGGTGATTGTGAGCCAGCCCGCATTCATGCCTTGCAGAAGAGCATCGAGTAATCTTTACTGCTGGCCCGGCTTCTGGTTCTGACTTTCAGTTCTTTCCAGAAATTCTTTTTTCTTTGGGATGGGGTGATCCTAGTTATTAAACCTAAGGCCTCACACATGCCTGTATATAGTTCCTGTTTCCTTTTGCAACAGTATAGTGTTTTGATGTATGGCCAGCTATTTGCTGAGCTTTTGGGTGGATCTTCATCTTTTGTGATGCCTCAGTGACTTCCTCGGTATTTGGACCAGCGTTTCTGGAGGTTAGGTTCCTAGAAGCAGCATGGGGGGGGGCAGAGGATAAAGTACTTCTCATTTTATCAGATGTGACAGATCCCTCTCTGGGATGGTCCTGCCCTTGTCCCACAGGAGCAAAAATGTCTTCCCTCAAATCCTGGGTCTCAGAGTAGCTCACTCTCCCAGTCTCCTGCTCTCTTTTCTTCCTACTTTCTTCCCTCCTTATCTCTCCCTCCTTCCCCTTCCCTCCCTCCTTCCCCTTCCTCCCTTTCTCCTTCCCTCCCTCCCTCCCTCCCTCCCTCTCTCCCTCTCTTCCTCCCTCCCTCCCCTTCCCCTTCCTCCCTTTCTCCTTCCCTCCCTCCCTCCCTCTCTTCCTCCCTCCCTCCCCTCCCCCTTCATCCCCCTCCCCCCCCACTAGTGAAGAGCACCTCGCCATGCCCTTGGGTTCTGAGGTTCTGTTGGTGTTGATGCCTCACCACCGCATATGTTGGAGAGGAGGGCACACTCTGTGCACTGTGGATCCAGATCTTGTCTGTGCTTGTGTTTGTGCTGTGCTCTGTTGTGCCTCTGCTGTCTTTCATTCTTTGGAAATCTAATTTATCAATTTTTTTTTACATGGCTTCTGGATTTTGAGTCCTAGTTAAAAAAGGCCTTCTCTACTTCAAGGTAATAAGGTTCTCGCCATGTCTACTTTCAGTGCTTGCCTGGATTTGTTTACTTACTAATTTACATGTGTGTGCATGTTCGTGTATGCTGATGCAGGTGTGTGGAGTGTGCACATGCATGTGTGTACATGCACTTGTGTGCCTATGGAGGTCAGAGAACACACCCAGGTAATGTTCCTCAGTCATGGTCCACCTTGTTTTTTGAGACAGGGTCTCTCTTTGGCCTGGGGCTCGCTGAGTAGTGGGCTTGACTGACCAGTGAGCTCTAGTGTCCACATCTTCACACCCCAGCCCTGGGATTGCAAGCATTCACTGCTCCCGTGGCTGCCTTTTTTAAGGTCTATTTTTGTTATTTTTAATTATGTGTACCCGCGTGTAATTGTGGATATGAGCATGTGAGTGCAGCTGCTCATGCAGGTTGCCTTGGATTCCCTAGAGCTGGAGGTACAGGCAGTTGTGAACTACCCAAGGGTGCTAGGAACTGAACTTGGGTCCTCTAGGCCAGCAGTAAGCACTCTTACTGCTGAGCCATCACTCCAGCCTCTGACTTTTTTGTTGTTTTTAAACGTGGTCTGTGGAGATCACTGTTGGTCCCCATGCTTGCTGGTCAGCACTTGACCCCCTAAACCATCTTCCAGCCCCCAGCTGGTTTAATCTAATCTTCTGTTTCCTCTCTGTTTATACTTCTGTTCATCATGAATACAGGTTTCCATGTCTGACCGTTTCCAGTTTGTATTATAATTTTATACTGTACGGACAGTAATATCACCAAGACTTCTGCTTGGCACTTGGTGTTCTTATCTGTAAATGGGCCTATCTGCCCCTATTGTTGAAAGCCTTAAAGAAAAAAAGGGAAAAAAAGTAGAACTCAGAGGTATCAGGAAAGGAAGGGTTACCAAGCAAGGTGGGGCATGCCTCTAATTCCAGCATTTGGCAGGTCCGGAGTTCAAGACCAGCCTGAGCTACATAGTGTGGCCTTGTCTCAGAAGGGAGGGAGGGATGGAGGATCAGAGGAAGGACGGATTGTTTGTACTCTTGCCTCCGAGATGTAATAGCTCGGGCTCTCATCCAATACAGAGCCAGCGTAAAGCATTCAGATGTCGAATCAGGGGCTGATGTACTCCTTAATTCTGTTTTCCCCAGTTTGTAGAAGACTATGAACCCACCAAAGCCGACAGCTACAGAAAGAAGGTGGTCCTCGATGGAGAGGAGGTCCAGATAGACATTCTGGACACGGCCGGCCAGGAGGACTACGCGGCCATCCGGGACAACTACTTCCGGAGCGGAGAGGGCTTTCTGCTCGTGTTCTCAATCACAGAGCACGAGTCCTTCACTGCCACAGCCGAGTTCAGGTGCGCTTGCTGGGAGAGCTGGGTCCTGGACCTCCACCCTGGGGGCCGAGGCTTCCGGTCCCCGGAGTGGAGCAGCGTGAGATGGTGGGGCTGTGAAGCCGCAGGGCTTTCTTCCACCAAGCCTCCCCCTCTGTGTGCGCCCATGTTTTAGGATTTCTGGACACATCTTTTTTTTTTTTTTTTTTTTTTTTTTTTGCGAGACAGGGTTTCTCTGTATTGTTTTGGAGGCTGTCGGTCCAGCCTGGCCTCAAACTCACAGAGATCCGCCTGCCTCTGCCTCCTGAGTGCTGGGATTAAAGGCGTGCGCCACCACCGCCCGGCTCTGGACACATCTTTTGTTTGTTTGTTTTGTTTTGTTTTTGTTTTTGTTTTTACGAGACAGGGTTTCTCTGTATCCTTTTGGAGGCTATCGGTCCAGCCCGGCCTCCAATTCACAGAGATCCGCCTGCCTCTGCCTCCCAAGTGCTGGGATTAAAGGCATGTGCCACCACCGCCTGGTCTGGACACATCTTTTAACAAAGATCTATTTATTTATTTTGGTTTTTTGAGACAGGGCTTCTGTGTAGCCCTGTGTAGACCTAGCTGGCCTTGAGCTCAGAGATCTGCCTGCCTCTGCCTCCCGAGTGCTAGGATCAATGGTGTGTGCCACCACACCCAGAATACTTTTATTGTTATTTGTCTTATGTGTGTGGGTGTTTTATCTGCATGTGATCTGTGTGCCTCCTGCATGCCTGATGCCTGTGGAAGCTAGAAGAGGCATCGGACCCCCTGGGACTGGAGTCACAGAAGGTTGTGAGCTGCCCTGCAGTTGCTGGGAACTGAACTCGGGTCCTCTAGAAGAGCTGTCAGTGCTCTTGACCACAGAGCTATCTCTCCAACCACTGTGTGAGTGTGTGTGAGTGCCTCAGTGTGTGAGTGCCTGTGCACACACGGGCATGTGTATTTGTGTACAGGGAATGTGCAGAGGCCTGGGAAGACTTGAACTCCCACCATGTGAGTTCCAGGGATTGAACTCAGGCAGTCAGGCTTGGTGCCCAAGCCCCCTTCCTGGCTGAGTCATCTCCATAGCTCCCAGGCTCCATGCTTCAGTAAGCTCTTTCTTGTCACAAAGTCAGATGACCGACCAAAGGTAAAGGGAATCAGCTAAATGTTTCCCAAGATTTGAACATGGCCTCTGAGCCAGGGAGGCATCAAGGGCTGAACTCGGCCAATCTCGTAGAGAAGGCAGATGAAGACGGAACCTCTTCCTGTACTGTGGTCTCAGATCTCCAAAGATCTGGTTTCCTGCAACTGCAGTGTGTGTGGAGGAGACTGATGGACAGAGGGGGCCTCACTTGAGCAGTTGCCTCTGTTTATAGGGTTTTCCATCTCATCATGGAGTTTCTACACGGATAGTACTCTTGCAATCTCAACTGTGTTTCCTCTTCACAGTCTGATATTTGAGGCCATTGAGGATACAACAGGATGCATGCACATACTGCGTTTTTACTCCCCTGGCCCTGTATTGGAATTATTAGTCATTTTTTGTGAGCTGTTGCTTTGAGTTTGATGGGGTTTTTGTTTTATTTATTTTATGTGCGTGGGTGTTTTGCCTGCGTGGATGTCTGTGCAGCATGTGCATGCAGGACCTGCAGAATCCAGAAGAGGGCATCAGATCCCTAGAACTGGAGTTAGAGTTGTGAGCTGCCACGTGGGTGCTGGGAATCAAACCAGGCTGCCCTTAACCACTGAGCCATCTCTCAGACCCTGGGTTTTTGTTTTTTTTTTTTTTTTAGGCAGCATCTCATGTAGCTCAGGTTAGCCTTAAACTTACTATGTAGCCAAGATGACCCTCAAGTTCTGGTTCCACCGAGTCCTGGGATTACAGGCATGTACCCCCATGCCCCATGCCCCATCTGTAGAGTGCTGGAGGTGGAGTGGGGCTCTGTGCAAGGCAAGCACCCTGCCCTGGGCCACATCTCCAGTACCTTTTAGTTTGTTTCTAATTCCTGGGATTCTCAGAGGGTCCCTTCTCTCCCTCCTCCTCTCCTTCTACACCCTTTCCTTTTCCCCCATAAATTGGGAACCCTGTTGGCATGCAGACTCCTGGCCTCCTGTGTAGACATGTCTTCTGTAGGAGTGTGGGGTAGAGAAATCTGCAGATGGAGAGAGACCAGATGGTCATGGCGGAGGGAAGCTGAGGGCCAGCCTGGGAAAGCCCACGCTAGTGGAGCCCCATTTCGAGATACTCCCCCCAAATGGAGTGCTTTCTCTTGTTCCTTAGCTGAGCTTTCTAGATGTGCTTGTAAACACCGGGGTGCACTGCCAGCTACTCAAAAGCTGAATTCTTATGTTTACGCTAGCTCTAAAACAAGACGAAACGAAGCATCATTATTTGTGTGTTTACACATGTGCACTGGCGCACATACCGTAGTGCCCGCGTAGAGGAAGGAGGGCAATTGGCAGGAGTCATTTGTCACCTCTCACCTTGGGGCTCAGACTCAAGCCCCCAGGCTGCTCGGGGCATCTCCCTGCCTCCTCTTTAGCTTTCTTAACTCACTGTCCTTGGTGCCTCACCCTAGGGAACAGATCCTCCGCGTCAAGGCCGAGGAAGATAAAATCCCACTGTTGGTCGTGGGCAACAAGTCTGACCTGGAGGAGCGGAGGCAGGTGCCTGTGGATGAGGCCCGGGGCAAAGCGGAAGAGTGGGGTGTGCAGTATGTGGAGACATCAGCCAAGACCCGTGCCAACGTGGACAAGGTAGCATGCATGGGTTCTGGAGGGTCCTGGAAAGTGCTTTCGCTGCCTTGAGACACAGCCATCTCTCTTGGTTTTTATTTTAAGTGTGTGTGTGTGTGTGTGTGTGTGTGTGTGTGTGTCTGTGTCTGTGTCTGTGTCTGTGTCTGTGCAAGGATGTGCACATGTGACTTAAGGTGCTTGGTGAGGCCAGAAGAGGTCATAGAATGCCCTGGAATAGAAGTTGCGGGTAGTTGTGAGCTGTCTGGTGTGGGTACTGGGAAGTGAACTCGGGTCCTCTGCAAGAGTGGTGGTGTTCTTAACCACTGAGCCACCTCTCCTGCTGCCCCTGCTGGGGCTACTGCCACCGATCCCCCTCCTTCTCTCTCTCCTCCTCCTCTGCCTCCTCCTCCTCCTCCTCTGTTTTCTTTTTAACAGGGTCTCGTAATTCCTCAGTCTGGCCTCAAGCTTGGTTATGGGAGCCGGAGGCGAGCTTGAGCTTCTGATCCTCCTGCCTCCGTCTCTAAGTGCTGCCACCCTGGGTTCCTGTCACCACAGGGGCTTGTGGCTTTCTGCTTTCTTCTTGACAAAGTCTCACACGCGTAGCTGAAGAGGACCTGGAACTTCCGGCCTCCACCGCCTGCACACGCTCCTTTGCGGGAATGACAGGCCTGGGCCACCACACCCTGTTTATGCTGTGCTTGGGGGTGGAACCCAGGGCGTGATGCAAGCACACGGCCACCCTGTGTTTCCCTTTTACATCAGAGGTCAAGTTGTTACCACACAGCTGAAGGTTGCACCCCACAGCTGAACTTTTCTCTGTTTTCACGTGCTACGGTGTGGACTCTTGCTTGTGAAATCACTGTGGAGCCAGGACAGTCAGAAGGGCCGTGTCCACCCGGCTGTGCATAGCCTCAGGTCCCTGCTCTGTCTCCTCTTCTTCTCAGTTCGCACCAAAGCCCGGGCTGGTGCTGTAAGGGTGTCACTCCCCCTTGTTCTGTGCTGTCCCAGGGAGGGCTGTTTCATCAGCTGGTTCTGGAGGAGTGCTCTCTCTCAGTGGGACACTAGGAGGGTTTGGCATTAAGCAGGGTTCAGTGTTGATGGCCCATGTCTGTGTAGCCCGGGGGACAGCGTCACTTCCTGTTCCCTCATCAGCTGCTTTTCGGTTGTCATAGTTAGCTAATTTATTATTTTTGAAATTACATTTATTTCTCTGTGTGTGTGTGCTTTTTGGGGGGGGTGTGCAACTGTGCACTCACATGCCACAGCACACGTGTGGAGGTCACAGGTCGACCTGCGGGTTCTCTGTTTACATCCTGCGGGTCCCAGGGAATTGAACTGGAGTTGCTAGGCTTGGCAGCCAGTACCTTACCCTCTGAGCCATCTTCCCTGGCCTGCACCCACCCCCCACCCCCAGACTGACCTCCAGCCCTCCACGTAACAAGTACTAGAATTACAGGTGTGGAGCATCACACCTGATTTATGGGGCGTCAGAGTCGAACCTGGGGCTCCAAGTGTTCCAGACAGCACTCTCTGCAGCTACCACACCACACACACGCGTTTTCTCTATATTCTTATCTGAACTTCTGTTACTTCTTGTGATGCTCAGACTTCTGTTCTCCCCCCACCCCCCATCAGTTTCCTAGCTGAGGTCACCTCCATTGTCTCCTGATGAGGAGATGGGCACATGTTTGAGACAATGTAGTCCCAACTGGCCTCTGCCTCCCACACCGTTTATCTTTTAAAACCCAAGCAGGCTGCCTGATCGTGACAGCATAGGCCTTTGATCCCAGCACTCAGAAGGCAGAGGCAGGTGGATCTCTGTGAGTTCAAGACCAGCCTGGTCCACATAAGGAGACCTTGTCTAATCAACAACCACAAAACAAAACAGAAAGACTTTCTCAGCATGAAAACACTGGCGTTGCTTTGGAGGGGATGAGAATCGAGCCTGGGGTCCCTTGTGGTGTTTGTTACCCATCTCCTCCTCCTCCTCCTCTGGACAAGCTTTCCCCTGCCAGGCGAGACCCAGCAGGAACTTCTAACGGGCAGGCCGCGGTCTGCTTCAGTAAACACCTCCCTACAGAAAGGCCCTGGGTAAGCCCAGCGCAGGAACAGAGCAGGCCTTTTCAAATGAGTGCAGCCAGACGCCACCCCTGCCTTTTAGCACAAAAGGTCTGAAACAGAGTCTGTCATTTTGAATCTATGGCTATGGCTAGCAAAAGGGGTGTAGAGGTCAGCTGGACACCCGGGGGTTCCCTTCCCTGTGCCTGTGGTAACCTCCTCTGGAGCGCCACGCCAGAAGATCAGTCTCATTGTCTTTGTTTCTAAAGCAGTCATTCACGTAGCCCAGGATGGCCTCCGGTTTATTATTTAGTCAGGGATGACCTTGAATTTTGAACTGTTCCAGATCCGTGGCATCACACATGACTTGTCTTTCTTTTTTTCTTGTTTGTTTTCTCTTTATTTAAAAACAAGAACAAAAAACCGACAGGGTTTCATCTACCCTAGGCTAGCCTCCAGCTCAATATGTAGCTGAGAAGGACTTGAGCTTGCGGTCTCTGGCCCCTGAGTGCTCGGATTACAGGTGTGCACCGCCTGGTTTGTGCGATGCTGGGGATGGTTCCCAGGGTCTTGTACATGCCAGGCGGGTGCCGCACCGGCTGAGCCACATCCCAGCCCTCAGGCTTGCCTTTCACCTTGGTCTGTGTCTGAGAACTACATCTTGGAGCTGGCGGAGATAAAGCCTGTGTTCCTTGTCACTCGTCCAGTTTCTGTGGGGAATCTCTAGTGTGTCTGCAGGGGGCTTATTTTGTCTGCTAGAGAGTAATCAGTCCTTTGGTGATTGCTGCTAGCGGAGGGCAAAACCCAAACCTCATTGACGAACGATAACGCCTGTCCAGATAGCACACAGCAGCTCATCTTTCTTGATAAAATTCCTCTTGGCAATGGAGCGGGGCTGGGGGTGAAGGGGTGGGGTGGGGGTGGGGAGGTGTGGGGCTGAGTGCAGCTCTCCACTGACTGCAGGAACCTGCCTTCCTACTCCCCATTCCTTGCCTTCCCAGATTTGCTACTGGTGGCTTTTTAAGTAAGGTTTGGGGAGGGGGCTATTATTTACAATGGCACTCTAGCCCTCGTAGTCAAACATGGCGTGGTGATGTGGAACAAAGCAAAGATTCACCCTTGTGTGTGTGTGTGTGTGTGTGTGTGTGCGTGTCTGTGTGTGTGTGTGTGCATGTGTGTGTGTGCATGTGTATGTGCATGCGTGTACTCGTTCATACCATCACATATGTGTGGAGTCTGAGGACACATGTGGGAGCCGGTTCCTTCCCTTACCATGTGTGTCTCAGCTCTTGAACTGAGACCGTCAGGTTTGGTGACAAGGGACTCTACCCGATGAGCCATCTCGCCTGCCTGTGAGCTCTTTGGAAATGGGAAGTGTAGACTCACAGGTGCCCGCTGACCTCCACATGTTTGAGTTTCACACACCATTCTAGAACTGTGCTCTGCAAAAGCTCATTTTAACCTTCCGTCGTTAAGATCTGACGGGCAGTGACAGGCTCACCCTGTCCGTGTTGACAGCCGTGTGGAATGGCAGAGCTGCTAACTTGGGAGGAGGGCCGTTTCACTAAAGTGGACTCCTATTGCTGTAGCTGCCTTGTTTATCTATTTGTTTATTGTTGACACCTTGTTTTCAATGGGCCGGGCTCATAAAAGTAAGCAGGGGGCTGGGGATAGACTCTATCGCCCTGGAGTTCCATCGACAGTGCCACGCCCAGGGAGGACCAGGAGCTCCTGGCCACACACCATCAATTGGAGGCCAGCTTGGGGCTACAGGAGCCCCTGCTTCGAATGCATGAATGAATGAATAAATGAATGAACGAACGTACATTTGGGCATTATGCCATAAAATCTAAGTGCGTTTCCTGCCAGTTGAGCTGCTTGTCAGTGACTCCCTCTGTGTCCCTTTCTCCCTTCCTCCCCACGGCCAGGTGTTCTTTGACCTGATGAGAGAAATCCGAGCAAAGAAGATGTCGGAAAACAAGGACAGGAACGGCAGGAAGAGCAGCAAGAGCAAGAAGAGCTTCAAGGAGCGGTGCTGCCTGCTGTGAGCTGGGCAACCAGAACACAGAGAGGGCCGAGCTGCAGACCGTGAGGCCAGAGGCGGCCTCCAGCCTGGCTTCGCTCTCCACAGCCACATTCACCGTCACTTCTTTAAATGGGACGATGCCTGTGTGCCGGTGCCTGGCAGAAGGAGGACACCTTCGCGCAGTAGATGTGTTAACTTCCGGCAGGAGCTCTGAGACTCTGCCCCCCCTCCCGCCCTCCCTGAATCCTGACAGCCTCCAGCTCTAGGGACCTAGTGCTGCAGATCCCAGACAACTGAGTTGGGATGACAAGAAAAGTATTGTCACAGCGTCTTACTCTCCCTAGTTTTAGACATCACCATCTTTTGTCTGAAAATTTAAATGCCTCGTCTTAGCTGGGCACGGTGGTGCACGCCTATAGCCCCAGCACTTTGGAGAGTAGGCAGGGAGGGTAGCTCCAGTTCCAGGCCAGCCTGGGCTACCCAACAAGACCCTGTCTCTAAAAGAAAAAAAAATTAATGTCTTATTTTCTTAGGTTTTAGAAAAGGGTCTCTGGTAAGACCCCTTGTCAGTTCTTACCGGTTTAGAAGTACATGGAGAAATCTAAGCCCTGGTAACAGTGAAAACCGGGGAGTAGAAGCCGAACTAGAAGGGTGGACCTCGCTTGGGCCAGACATGAACAAGCTCCCTGGCGTTTGAAGTGAAAGTGGGGTGTTGTTCTCTTCTGTTTAAATGCCAGCCAGGTGCTGGCTGTGGGCTTCCTCTCCCCAGCACCCTACTTGGTGAGGGATCTTTCTTTGGGGGAGATGCAGGCCTGTGGGCTTGCTTTTTCTGGCTGGGCCATTTTCGTATCACTCCATGCCCGACAGTCCTATTCTCTTAACTCTTTTTCTTTCTTCTGAGAGATGTGACCAGCTCGAATTATGTCCCAGAACGTAAAGCCGGTAGCAGCACCGGCCGGTCTGCTTCCTCTCCAGACACCCGGTAACTCCCAATTTACAAGTGGAACGGCCATCACCTGTCCCTCCCTAGCAGCCGGCTGGTTCTGGTGGCACTGAGATAAGCCCACTCTTTCGTCACGGGGAAGGGGACACTGGCACCGCAGGCTGCCACTGAGCACACACATTCCTCCCATTTTTCAGAAGTGAATGTTTCATGTTCAGGTGCCGAATGTGAATCTGGGTGGGGAGAGCAGGAGCCCTTCGCATGGACGGTTTTGCAGAGGTTGGGAGAATGAGATCCGATGCCTGGAAACTGATCTTGTATCACTTCCAAAGAATCATGGGCTTTTTTGAATAATAAAAAAAAAAGCAAAATACACTTTTCAGGATTTTGCCCTTTTGCCTGCGTGCCGCCACACGGAATGCTTTCATGGGAAGAAATTAGCAGGTAGTCGCTATTTTTAGCAGATATGCCTCGGTGTCAGACAAACTTCAGTGAATCCCATGGGCTGGGAAACACAACTATAAATATATGCAATAATTGTAACTTCATCTCTCCTTTGGGAGGCATCTCCATCCTCCATAAAATATAAAACCTTGAAGATAATTACACTCGAGTGCTAACAGGAAGCCCTGTCTGTTAAAGATTTTGCTGACATAAAAGCATGCACATGAGGCTGGAGAGATAGCTCAGCAGTTAAGAATACCCGCTGCTCTTCCAGCGGACCCGGGTTCAATTCCCAGCACCCACATGTCAGCTCACAACTATAACTCCAGTTCAGGAGATCTGACACAGACAAACATGCAGGCAAAACGCCAATGCATATAAAATAAGAATAAATAGGTAATTTTAAAAAAATTAAGAGCACATGCTACAAAATCACGAGGACCTGGGTTTGAATCCCCACACAGATATAAAAAGCCAGGTGTGGCTGTGTGCAGGTCTGTAACCATAGTGCCAGGGGGTAGAGACAGGAGGCTCGCTGAGCCTTGCTGGTGGTTGCTAGCCAATCCCCTGTCTCAAAGGAATGAGGTGGGGGTGGTGGAGCAGGATACCCTACTTCTTCCTCTGGTCTCTGGTCTTGTAAACATAGTCACACACATACACACACACACACACACACACACACACACACACACACACACAGCATCAAAGGCAAACACTGCCTATTAAATGAATCCATGTTGATTTCACTGACAGAAATGTACTTACTAAGCTAGATGAATTGTGGTGTGTAAATTCACTTCATTTGTGTGTATAGGTGTGCATGATAGGTGTGTGTGGGCACAAGTGCCACCATGTACATGTGGAGGTCAAAGGACAGGCACTTTGTAGAGTTGGTTCTCTCCTTCCACCTTTATATGGGTTCCAGGAATCAAACTTGGGCCATCGGGCTTGTTTGTCAAGCACTTTTACATACTGAACCATCTCATTGGCCAAAAGCAAATTGAATTCAGGGAGCAAGATGGCTTCACTGAGTAGAGGAGTTTGCCACCAAACCCGGCAGCCTGAGCTCAGTCTCTGCCGTCTACATGCATGAAGGACAGAACTGATTCCTGCATGTTGCCCTCTGACCCTCTACACAGGTGCTGTGGCATACATGTGCTCACACATAGATACCCACACTAAATAAGTAAAAATACATACAAGTAAATACAATTAAAAAGAATAAATGTTAAGTGAAATGACGATCATTTAAAGACACAGTTCTTGTGCTGGTAGAGGAGCTGTTCTGGAGTAAAGCAACATAGCCACTTAGCGGCTAGCATCTATGTAACACTTGCCACACAAGCCCGGTGCCCTCAGTTCTGTCCCTGGGACCCATGTGGAAGAGAACAGATTTCTGAAGTCGTTCTCTGCTATAGTCATGTGTACACACACTAGTAAGTTTTAAAGTTTACTTTGTGTGTGTATAGGGGTTATATGCACATAGGTAAAGAAAATAGTATCCCTTCTCCCTGTTTGTTTCCTGAGAGTAGACACAATTGCTTCCTAGGACACAGGAAGAGGGCCTCATGCTCCAGAGAGACTGACAGTGCCCCTTTTGGTGCAAGCCCACCTCTGCCAGCAGCTTCTTGCCAGCCTGACCCTTCGCCAGCCTCCAGTCCCGGCCCCATGCATGTGCACGGGTATCGTCCTGCACCTGGGGGCCACAGGTGGAAGGTGGCTGTCTTCCTCCACCTCGTTTTATTTTTAATGTTTTAAAGCTACATTGACTTATTTACTGGGGGAGAGGTATGTGCTATGGCATGCCTTTGGAGGACCAGAAGACAGCTTGCAGAGCTGGTTCTCTCCTCCAACCATATGGGCTCCAACTCAGGTCATCTGGCTTGGTGGCAAGCACCTTTTCCCCTAAGCATCCTTTCCCCTTTTTCTATGAATGGTGTTTTTCCTGTTTGTCTGTCTGTGCACCACCTGGATGCAATGCCGGCAGACGCCAGAAGGGGGCTTCGGATGCCCTGGAGCTGGAGTTAAGGTTGTGAACCTACATGGGGGTGCAGGGAATTAACTGAGTCTTCGGGAAGAGCAGCCCGTTTTAGCCACACTTCTGGGGTGGGGACTTCCACCGGGCCTCATTTATACATAAACTGATGACAGGATCACTCCATGGTGTGGTTAAGGGGAAGGTTTTATTGTAGACATGAGATTGAACAGGCTGTCAGGGGCCTGCAAGTGGCTCTGAGCCATCGAGATGGCTCTCCCTCCCTCCCTCCTTCCCTTCCTCCCTCCGTCCCTCCGTCCCTCCCTCCCTCCCTCTATCCCTTTCGTTCCTTCTTTCTTTCCTGTTTAATAGAAGTTCTTTATCTTCCAGAGTGACTAATTTACTGTGGCTGACAGCTTTAAAAAGTGGTATTTCTTTTTTGTTTAAGTGTGTGTGTGTGTGTGTGTGCGCGCGCCCGCGTGTGTGTGTGTATGCAGGCACTAGTGTAAGACAGCGGGCGTCCTGCTCTGTCATTCTCTCCTCACTCTTATGAGATCTCTCTCTGAACTCGGAGCTGCGCTAGCATCCAGCAAACCCAGTCATTCTCCTGTCCCCACCGTCACAGCACCGGGACTCCAGGCTCCTGGGTGGCCCCACTGAGGGTTTGTGTCAGTGCTGGGGACCCAAGCTCAGCTGGGGAGGTCTAGTCCCTGCCCAGCAAGGGCTTTCACCCAGCAAGCCAACATCTCTGGAGCCCAAAGGTGAAGCTTCAAGTGCTGTCTTGAAATACATAGAAAGTGTACTTGTTTCATCACAAGAACACGCCAGCCAGCAGAGGGCTGTGTGTGCAAGGTTTGGAAGCACAAGCAGCAGAGAGCCCACATGAGATGCAGAAAGAGCGCTTGTCTTCACGTGAAAGTTGCCCGTCACGAGAACCTGGAGACATCATGTGTTGCCTCCAGCTGTGGCCCGCAGACCTGCTGGCTAGGTAGGTTCCTAAGGACTTTGGAGGTGTGGAATTCAGAGGGCAGACGAGTCGGAGCATCTTCCCCAGGCTCCGTATTTGGTGGGACTGGGATCCTAACTCGGGCTGCACCTGCAGCAGATGACAGAGCCCGGCTGCAGCAAAGCAGGCGCTTACTGGAGCAGGATGCTCTATGCCCGGGAAGAGGGCCTTCCGTGTTTTCAGAGCCCTGGTCTTACAGCTCTAACAGGCAGTCGCAGGAGTGGCGCTTATGTCTGAAGGCCACTAGGAACTTAACCCTTCGATAATGCAATGAGAAAGCGAGTCTGGTAAGTCTATGTAGAAGTGGAATTACTCCCCACCTCCCTTTGTGAGACAAGGTTTCATGTAGCCCAGGTTGACCTAAGAATTCCATGAGTAGCCGAGGCTGGCCTGACTCTTTTGCTCCTTCCACCTGGCTTGTGTGGTGCTGGGATGGGACCCAGGGCTCATGGGATGGGACCTATGCATGCGTGGTAAGCACTCCTCCAAGGAAGCAAGCCCAACCTCTGTGTTTCCATCTCTGCTGTACCTCAGAAAAATGAGCGGTCAACACAATACACAGAGGAACAAGGCAGTGAAAACCGGGACAGGGTCCTCGGAGGCTCCTGTCTAGAGAGGAGACTTGCTGGTATGTCACGTTCTTGCATGGCCTTTGTCCAACACCAGCCTGGATTTTTTTCTTCAAAATCATCTCTTACTGAAAAGCAATAGTGTGTGTGTGTGTGTGTGTGTATGTGTGTGTGTGTGTGTGTGTGTGTGTGTGTGTGCCAGAAGGTAAGAGGGAATATAAAAGTAATTTAAAGATACACTGACTGTTAGTATTCAGGCACCTGCACCGGGCCTGTCCTTGGGGTTCTGACAGGATACGCCCTCAGCTGCAGCCACTAAGAGCACCCACCACCTGTGCATGTTTATTCCCTTTTTAAACGTGCCCCGCCCACCTCCTCTCTATCTCTCTCCCTCCCCCCTCTCTCTCCCTTCCCCCTCTCTCTTTCCCTCTTCTCTTTTGCTCCTGTCCCTAGAGGCTAGTCTTCCCCCTCCCCTCCCCCTTTCCCCTTCACTTCCCCCATAAAAACCCTCTCCACCCAAGCTCTGTCACATGGCCTCTTTCTCTCGAGCCACTGCTCTTGCTGCCAGGCCCAGCAACCTGAGTTCCCTCCCTGGGACCTGTAAGACAGAAAGAGAGAACTTACTCCTGAACCCTGGTCCCTGTCCTGCACACACAGTGTGTGTGATGGTGTGTGTGTGTGTGATGGTGTGTGTGTGAGATGGTGTATGTGTGAGATGGTGTGTGTGTATGATGGTGTGTGTATGTGTGTGATGGTGTGTGTGTGTGATGGTGTGTGTGTGATGGTGTGTGTGTGATTGTGTGTGTGTGATTGTGTGTGTGTGATGGTGTGTGTGTATGATGGTGTGTGTGTGTGATGGTATGTGTGATGTTGTGTGTGTGTGTATGATGGTGTGTATGTGAGATGGTGTGTGTGTGTATGATGGTGTGTGTATGTGTGCGTGATGCTGTGTGTGTGTGATAGTGTGTATGTGATGGTGTGTGTGTGATAGTGTGTGTATGATGGTGTGTATGTGATGGTGTGTGTGTGGTGTGTGTGTGGTGTGTGGTGTGTGGTGTGTGTGATGGTGTGTTTGTGTGTGTGTGATGGTGGTGTGTGTGTGTGTGTGTGTGTGTGAGATGGTGTGTGTGTTGCACCCGATGATGCCATCTGTGGAGGAGGAGGGGAGGAAGAGGCAGGAAGCTATCCTCTGACCTCCTGGGCTGCCCGCCCCAGGCTCATGGGGAGCAAAGGGAAGGGAAGAAGGCCCCAGCATGGACACAGCAGGGTTCTATTGCTTTGCTTCAGCTCGTTTCTGTTGTTTTGGTTTTTTGTTTTTCACATTTTCTTTCTTTGCTTCCTGGGGTGACATCTGCCTGTCTCAGGCCACATGTGGAGGTCA